CACCAGATGCTACTGCTGTCTGCAGTTTACTCAAGTGATGAATAGGAATGGGCCTGGGGCTGGAAAGTGGCCCAAGATGGGGAATGCAATGGGAGCCCAGAGGGAGCACTAAGCTCACATGAGGACAAGACTACTAAAGGCCATATAGTTTGGCTTTCAATCAGGAAGCTTGCCCCAAAAAGAGAGGAAATAAAGTGGAGTAGACCTGACCAATGTACGGCTGAACACTTCAAGGACTGACTGCACTCCTCACAAATGACAGCAGTTCCCAGGTCAAAGCTACAGACTCCAGGAATTATGTAGCTGCCTTGAATGTATGGAAATAATCCAATTTGTCTTTATTGACCACCGTTCTCTGAGGGATAAGCAAGTCAGGGAGATGTCATGTTCTGCAGCACAAGAGTAATGACAGAGAGAAATGACCCTAAGAAAGCCCACCCTCCTTGACCACGAACTATAACCACTAGCCTGTTTGACCCAAACTGTTCCCATCAGGACCTTGTCCATTCTACCTTATCGAGCAAAACCTGCACAACTCTTCTTACTGCCTTCAAATCCATTGGCTCGAAGACTTGTCAGCTCAAACAAGCTCTTCTTGCAAGCCAGTTCAGCACTAATTCCATCAACAAAAGTCTTTGCCTCTGTGGGTCATACCACATAACTTCTGTGTGTTAGCACCTTGGCTGCACACACAGCCATCACTCCATGAAGTCTTCATCCCTTCTGAATCTTCTCCCAAACTCCTTTTTCACCCATGGCTTCAAACTGCAAGTCTGCTGTCTCCTTCCCCGTCCACTTACTTACACAAACTTATGCTAAACTCATTTAGAAATGAAATGCTCAACACTGGGACATGACTGACTTGACTGAGGTCTGGAGCGCCCTTCACCACGCTAAGGTTCCCCAATTAGCAGTAGCCAGCTTTGCCGTATTTCTGAGCTCTCTCACCTGTGAGACTGTGATGCCGCATTTCTTGGCTAGCTCTTCTTTGGCTTCCTCACTGGGGTAAGGGTTGCTGAGATGGGAATAGAAATACTCATTCAGGATTTCCGTAGCCTGCTTGTTGAAGTTTCGTCTCTTCCGCCTTAGCATGAAGAAAGAGGGGGAAATAGAAGGAAAAGAAATGGGAATCAGTGCTAGGGGTCCAGAAATAGGAATGCAATTTTAGACACTCTGACTTTCCCT